GCCCCGCCGCCGCGGGCCGGCCCAGACCCGCGGGGAGGACGCGTCGGGGCGCCCCGGCCCGGCGTCAGTAATTGTCCTCATGCACAACAACATGGTCTGACGTGTGCGCGGCGTGTCCGTGAGCCAGAATAACGTCAACCGTCCCAAAACGTGGGCCTGCACGCCGGCGCGCTGCCCCGCCCCGGGGAGCGGCGTCCCCGCCCGCCGCGGTTTCCGGCGGAAGCGAGCGGGAAGCCGGGCCGGGGGCGCCACCTTCTGGCGACCGCGGGCACTGCAGCGCCGGCAGGGAGCGCGTTTGACAACTGCCCTTCAGCAGCTTTTTTTTCTTTTTAATCGGCGCCCTGGGACAGCTCAGACCCGAGCTCCGCGTTCATCCCCAGGGCCCGCACGGCCTGTGAGTCCCCGGGGCGGCACTGAACGCCCCCGCTCGGGCGGGCGGGGAAGGGGTGCTCTGTGACGGACGCACAGCCCGGCCCAGGGGCTCCCAGGGCTGCGCCCCGAAACCGGGGGCGGAGTGCGGGGACAGCTGTGTCTTCGTGGCCGAGCGGAGCAGGAGAGGCGGTCCCAGCTGCGCGAGGCCGCAAGCCTGCCTTTCCAAGTCACCCCTCTTCACATCCCGGCTCACCCCAGTCTTTGCACAGCCAAAGGCATTTTGTCGTTGACTTGGCGCCCTTTTCCCTTTGCTGTTGCTGTTTTTTCAAAAATATTTTGGAGACACGATCTCACTGTGCAGTTCAAGCAGGCCTCAAGCTCACTATGTAACCCAGATTGACCTGAGCTTGTGGGGATCTTCTTGCCTCAGCCTCCCAAGTGCTGGGACTACAGGGCAGTGTTTCTCAGTTGAAAAAGAACAGCTGAGCTTCCGCCTTTCCCGCCCATTCGTTCATTCATCTGTGAGTATGAGTAGGAGCCACACACGGTCAGGTCCTGGATAGGCACACATTTTAGCAAGACACTGCCTGGCCGCAAGTGTCAAAGAATTACCCACTTGCCATGCGCTGTGGAGCGGGTCGCTGAGCCCGCAGGGCTTCCGGCGGAGGGGCCTTTACACTGGGCTCCAGAGAGCTTGGCAGGCGGGAGGAGCAGGCCTGCGCTGACAGTGGAGAGGAGATGGTGAAGTCGGCGGGACCCAGGTGCGGAGCCTGTGTCCTAAGGGGCCGGCAGAAGAGCAGCCTGGGAAATACGCAGCCGGGGAGAGTGCTGCAGAGGGATCTAGAGGAACAGGTGCCCTGGGGGTCCTTAGACCAGGGGTCAGCGTGGTGGTTTTTTTTTTCTGTAAAGAGCCAGAATATAAATATTATAGGCTTTGAGGCCCAACAGGCAAAACTGACGATATTTTATATATATGTGTGTGTGTGTTTACATGTCAAGAGAGAAAAATGTGCAATTGTTTTGTTAAATTCATAGCGGAATAACAATGAGTAAATATAATTTTTATACCATAAATATAGTAGTGAGAAGAATGGATATTGGGAGAAGAAAATGTTTTGCTTAATTAGTGTTCTCTATTATGGAAAAATTATTGTAAATGTCTTCCTGCTAAGGCAGATATGCAGCGAGATTTCATCTGCTCCTAAATGTCTTCTTACATGGATAGGTACTGTCAGGCCCTGACATCTGTCCACAGCTATGTAACTCTATTTGAGTATACGCACGGCTTAGCAGGCATCTATAGAATTCTGTTACGAGTTTTCTCTTGATGTTCAATTTCGGCATACTGTCACATTGCAGATTAATCACTTGCAATTGAAAATGAAAGGGAAGCTCCCCAACTGCCTAGTTAAATGGATTTTGAAACACGAAAATTTCCTTCCCACCCCATCAAAGTACAAAACACACCAGTTGAGCTGCTGTGTAAACTCAGAAAATACAGCCGCTGTAAATTTGGGTGGAATAGAGATGCTGCTTCAAATGCGAAGTGATAAAATAGTTTTAACATAGGGCCAGGTGTGGTGGCACACGCCTATAATCCCAGCTCTCGGGAGGCTGAGGCAGGAGGATCGTTTGAGTTTGAGACCAGCCTGGACTGCAAAATGAGCTCAAGACCAGCAAGACCCTGTCTCAAAAAGACAAAAAACAAAAAAGAAAGAAAAATAAATAGCTTAACATTATTTGTGAGCAAAATCTGCTTACTCTCACTTTTTATGTTTGGGAAAGACGCTGTGGTGAGACCCTCCATTTTAAATTTTGTAAGTGTCTGACCATTGCTTTCCTGTACCTTGGGAAATGGCTTGCTTAGTTTGGTGCTGTGCTCTTTTTAGTGTAACTGCCACGTCTCACGTGCTAAACTCGGGGCTGCCGTTTAAATTTGGTAACAGCCATCGATGTGCTGTTGTACCTTAAAGTTCACGGTTCCTTTCGGGGCGCTGTCAGTTTGTGTGCTGGTGGGACTGAGCCCAGGCTTTGCACGTGCAAGGCAAGCGCGGCGCTCCAGCCCCGCCCAGCCCGAGGGGGCGGCACTCAGCGCGCACCGCCCTCCTCTTTTCTTGATGCCTTTACCGGTCCACCCTGCTGACCCGCAAGGGGTAAAGCGCTGTGCTCTGCCAGCCGCGTGCACTTCTGCCGCCGCCGGAGCAAAGCCGTCGCCGTGGTTCGAGTGCAGCGAGCTGAAGCTATGAGGGCGCTGGCAACCACGCCATCTTCGCTCTGGTGTGAAAGCAGCCGTGGGCAAATGGCAGAACACGCTGTGCTACAATAAAGCTTTATCTGTGCACTCTGAACCTGAGTCTCACATCGTGCACGTGTCAACAAATAGCACTTGGTGTGCTTTTGCTCAACCGCTGTAACATAAATGCCTTTCTTGGCTTGGGGGCCATGTGATCGTCTTTGCGGTTCAGGAGGCCACCTACTGTGTGCGCAGAAATGGTTTCCCCAGCACGTCCCAAGCCCTCGAGGCCCAGCCAAGCGGGTGATCTAAGCTGCCGCCTCTCTCTGCAGGATGGCACCCGCGTTGTGGGGAAATGCGGCGGTTACTGTGGGAAATGCACGCCGTCCTCTGGCACTGGCCTGGAGGTGCAGGTTTTATAGCTAAGGTAAGCGTGTCTCACCACCCATGTCTGTGTGTCTGTCCGTGCCTGTTGTCATTTTTCCCAGAGCTTCGTGAGGAGTGCGTGTGGTGGGTCACTTGCTCCCAGGTGGGCTTCCCGTCAAGAAGCCTGAAGCCATCCTGCTGCTCGCCTATCTTTCTGTCCTGCTCCTCTGTCCTTCCATGACTGAGGGCATCTGTCCTTCCCCTTGGGCGTGAGGCCCGCAGGCCTCCTGCGTCTGACTCCCACACTGCCTACTTAGAGCACTTCCTGCCGGCTGCATTTGCAGGAGTCCTGCTTTGTCAAGTCTCTGTGGAGCAGAGATCTGGATCCTTATGCAGGGTATCCTAATGCAGGAGGCTCACAAGTCATCGTTTGAAAAACACTATGCGGGAACATCAGTAACAACAATAGCAACGGCATCTGTTGACCCCCCGCCACACACACCAATTTACACGTGTTGTTTTATTGAACCCTCACTCAAAGCCATGACGCGAGGCTTTGTCTTTATTTGACCGGAGATTACTTCCCGAGGTCACGGTGAATTCCTCGGCAGAACCCGGGGGTGTTCACACCACAGCCGCCTTTTCTTGGCCTCTGACCAGTGCCGCTGCTTTGCTCTTCGTGGTGTGGTTCAGACACCTGCAGCCTCAGCAGCACCTGGGGCTTGGTAGGAACGCAGATTGCCAGGCCCACCTCAGACCCATGACATCACAGTCTGCATTTTAACAAAATCCCGGAGAATCAGCCATTGAGTTTGGAGACGCAGGCACATGCTCCCCCTGCTGGCCAGCAGCTGCATTAGTCTTTTTATGCTCCAGAGCCTTCAGCAAAGGGAGAAGCTCAGTCTAGCCTGTGACCCTTCTCCACCTTCCCTCAGGCCTGCAGAAACCGTTGCCCCGTCCAGCGCGTCACAGTCCTCACCCAGGAGTACTTATGTGAAATTTATGTACTAGTATTTTAATGTTTAATTAAGTATACGTACTCAAAATTCTTTCCTTAAATTAGGATTATTTGTGTGGCAAGGGGCAAAGGCTGTATATAAAGTAAGTGGGACGTCCAGGAGGCTTCCAGCGTAGCTGGATCCAGAGGCTCAGGCAGAGGCATCAGTCCTCTCTTGCTGATCAGCAGTGACTGCCTCTTCAGTGGCCTCCTCCTCAGGCAGGTCACCTCCCCAGCGTCCATTCTACAAACTCCGGTTGGCACTGGTTGGACCACATGGGCAGTGCTAACGAGGTGTCCGGGGCCTGAGATCACCCAGTCACAGTCAGGTGCCGGGCAGCTTCAGTTGGGAGAAGGACAGAGGTTTGCCATCAGAGAGGCAGCGATGTCACGGGGGCAGGGGCGCAATTCTGAGAGTCCTCCCTAGAGATATGTATTTCACAGCCCAGAAAGATCAAGTGTATATGTGTATGTGTGTAATGTTATGAGTGGGTGCAGCTATACAACATTTACATGTAGAAGCATCTGCACAGAGAAGGACTAGGAGGTATACCAGATGTACCTGAATACTTGCATGTGCTCTCTGGTGAGAGAATGTTGGGATAGGACTACACATTTTATTTCATTATTTATTACTTCCCTGAAACTTCCATGTTTCTTACAGCAAAACAAAAACCTACTTTTAAAATCTGGACAAAATAATAGTGTTCTTTTAAAATTGCATATGTCAGTCTATGTGGCTTGCTGACTTTTTATTTGTGGCATTTTAGGCAGCAGACTTACATTTCCTGGTTTGCTTATTTCAGGTGGCTGGAAGAGGAAAGCTTATGGGATGGATGAAGGATCGTGATGCAATATACCTCCGCCTTACATTGGGTGCATGTGTGTGTGTGAGGCCACTGTGCGTGTGTGTGTGTGTGTGAGTGCGTGTGTGTACATATGCACATATATATAAATATATATTTTTATGCAGGTTGAGCATCCCTGATCCGCAAATCTGAAGTCTAAAATGCTGCAAAACAGCAATACTACCGGTAGAAAATTCCACATCGTGGAATTTATTTCATGTGCAAAGTCATTCAAAACACTGTGTAGAATTACCTTTCAGCCGTGTTATCAAGTGCATATGAAACAAACGAATCTACACGTCAACTTGGGTCCCGTCCCCATGATATCTCATTGTACGTATGCAAATATTCCAAAATCTAAGAAAATCCCGACTCTGAAACACCGCTCATCCCAAGCATTTCGGATAAGGGATACTCAATCTGAAATATCCTAATGATGTAAAATTTAATATTTATGTTTGAAATTATTTATTGTGTTGTAATATTTTTGTACGTAAAATGATTTTATTGTGACTGCCTTTGCGCTATTTTGTCCCTTGCAGTCCAACCACTGCATTTTACGTGCTCTACATTGTGTGCAGTCCTGTGACAAAAGTGGTCCTTCGTTATCACGGTACACTATGGTTTACTTTTTATCTGTAAATGTTTTACTGTTACCTTTTTAAAGTCATACTTTGTTTTTTAAAACAACCTAGCCATCATCAAGGTGCTACTGAGAGTTGGGTAAGGGTGTTTTTGGCATTCCTAGAAGAGTACCACTAGCCAAGAAGTACGTTAGTGATTTCACAGATGTTACCAACTCTGAATTGTATTAAGTGTCTATTCCATTTCATGTGATCTCTGGGAAAAAATGCTGCCTTGGTGCTAATATTGTATGTATCTCAGTGATTTCCAGACTCCAGTGTAAGCGCTTTTAACATAGGGAAGGAAGGGAAGGACCGTTTCCAATGGACACGACCCTTGGATGGTGCTGGGACTGCGGTTCACTCTTGCTTTTGGACACGCCATTCCGGAAGCTGCACTTTGTTCTTGCCGTTTCTCTTCCGTGTGCCTGCTCAGCCAGCGGTGGCTTGGTCCCCTGCAGTCGAGGGGGGCTCCGCCCCTGCTTCCTCACAGAGCGGCGCTGGGGACGTGCAGTCCCTCACAGTTTTGTCACTACCGTATCCAGTAGCAAGACCGAGGAGCACAGCATGGCGGTGGCCTTCAGCACCCTCAGAAACGCAGAGAAATCGAACATCAGGCTCTGTGTCCTGGCGATGGCCTTCTGCTTGAAGACATTGGCCAATGAGGAATCTTCTCTTCAGGCTATGAGCCTCATACCCTGCCATTTCCTGTCCTCACTGGTAGTATGTGAAGAAATGAACTGTGGGGTTCCAGGTGCCTGAGTCTTTCCGATCGCCCCTGAACCCACTTTTTATTGCTTCTTGTCCGTGTGGAAGTGCCGAAGTCATGGTCTTCCTGCCTTTGCCGGTGGCCACAGAGACACTTGGTCTGAGCAACCCCGTCCACTTCAAAACACCAAAGAGATGAGGAAAGCCTGGCCACACTCTCCGACTCCAAGCAAACTCCAAAGTGCTCCAGGAAAAGTATACTCAGTGTATGAATACATGTTACTCTCCATTATTAATACATTGTGAGAACATATTACAAATAAATACCATGACCACATCCAAACCTTTGTTCCACCTGGTTTTGGCGTGGTTTCTGGACTCTTTCAGGCTGAGGCAGGAGGATTGCCCAGGCCAGCCTGGGCAACTTAGCAAGACCCTGTCTCAAAAGGGCTGAGGATGTAGCTCCGTGGTAAAACATGTACCTAGCATGAATGACCCCGAGCTCAATTCCCACCACTGCAAAGGAAGATGGGAGGGAGGGAGGGACGGAGGAAAAGAAGGGGAAAGAGAGGGAGGGAGGAAAGGAAGAAAGAACTTGCAAAAAGGGAAGGAACGGAGAGAAAGGAAGGAAGGACTCTGGTTTTAGAGTTACTAGGCTGAGGGGAATGCAGATTTCCTTAACTCGCTCTAGCACAGTTGCCGTTCTAGAGCCAGATGAGGAGGCTGTGCATAGGCTCGGACGTTTCCTCACGCAGATCAGGGACGTGTGCCTCCTGCTGTGTGATGGGCACAAACTGGCAAGCACCCAGGAGAGCAGGTGAGCTTGGGGCATCGCGGCTCGTCTCCTAGAGCAGTGGCCCCACCCTGTGACCCATGGTGTCCAGCGGGCAGAGCTTTCTCGGCCGGTCCGAAGCCAATGATAATTTTGCCACATGCTGGCCAGTGGCCTTGGTGACGGGTGGCCCCTTGTGCGGAGGCCGCGCCGTTGTGGGATGCCCAGGCCCAAGCAGGGAAGTGGCGGTCTGACTCCCCCGGGCTGCAAGCCCACGCTGGCCGGCCGCAGTGCTGAGTCGGGAGCCGACCGTTTCGGCTGGAGAAGGAAAGTTCCTAGAACAGAGGAAGGGTTTTGTTATCACCAAAGCAGCAAAGGCAGCATCTACTCATTCCTTTACCCCAACACCAAATGTTGCACTTCTCTTAACCCGGCGCTGTTCTAGGCTCTGGGCATATGGCAGTGCGCCAGGGAAGGCAAGAGGTGGTGTCAGTCTAGTGGGGCTGCTGTGGCCACCATAGGCTGGTGCTTTAAACCCGTGTTTTCTCACGGGGCTGGAGCGGGGACCCCACCATCTAGGCACAGTCAGGGCTCGTTCCGGGAGGCGGGGGCACTCTTTCCGGCTCGAAGACGAAGGACTTCCCACTGTGTGCTCCGGAGGCCTTTCCTCCACACACGGGAAGAGAGGGGGCGGGCGAGCGTGTCTCTTCCCTTCTCTCTCTTTCTGTACTGGGGCTTGACTGCAGGGTCTTGCGCATGCTAGACAAGCACTCTGCCACTGAGCTTGTCCCCAGCCCCCCTCTTATGAGTGCACCAGTCCTGTTGGATGAGGGCCCTGCTCTCTCGCTGTCATTTAACATTTAGTTTTTTCTGTCTGTCTCTGCAGTACTGGGGATTGGACCCAGGGCCTTTGCACAGAGCTGCATCCCCAGCCCTTTTCTGAGGCAGGGTCTCACAGAGGCACCAAGTTGGCCAGGCTGGGGTTGAACTTGCCATCCTCCTGCCTCAGCCTCGCAGCGTGCTGGGATTGTGGGCGTGCCCCCCCCACACACACACCCGGATCTCATTCCTCCTAATGGTCATACCGGGGGCTCAGGCTTCAGTATGTGAAAGAGGGTGCCCAGTTCAGCCCATGGCAGAGGCTGTAAGAAAGAGACCCCCCCAGGCAGGTGCAGAGGGGTCCACCACCCAAGGAGGAAGGGGAGGATGACTCCTGGGGCATTGGCTTCTGCTACAAGCAGTCAGCACCACCAGCAGGAATGTCCCGCCCGTCACAACTTACACCTTGGTGGAGATGGACCAGAGGACAGAGGCCCCAACGTGTAAACCAGCCTGTGCTCTTCCCCATAGTAACGCTGATGGTGTCCCCCACCGCGGCCTGGCGTCCCCGGGCACACCCCTGGCTGAGTTTCGTCCCTTTGCCTCTGCGTGTCGGAATGTCCTTATCTTCTGTCTGGTACAGGAGTAACAAATGGCAGGGTGGGTACGGGGAGCTGGGCTGTCCCAGGGGGAGCAGCACACAGGCGGCGCGGTCCGAGAGGGCAAGGCGCGGTTAGGCGGCGCGGTCCGAGAGCCCTCCCAGAGCAGGGCCGGGAGCGGGCGCCGCCCGGGAACCGCTCGGCCAGCCGATGGCGGGGAAGGCCGGGCTCCGCCATGCGCGTGGCACCCGCACCCGTGGCACTGCCGAGGCGAGCCAGGGTCTGCTGTCTTGGGGCCGAAGCTGCCAGGTGCGCCAGGGTCTTGGGAGCCCAGAGCCTTCCAGAGACCCGGCTGCTCTCCGAGAAGCACTTCGTCCACAGCTAAATCACTCCTAGGCCCACGACTCAGTCTTCCTCGGGGAAATCTATCCTTTTGTTTTTAAAATATCAAATAGCAGTGACCTCCCACCCCCGATCTCAAGACCGTCTTTGCTGTGGCCAGGGCCCATGTTCTGGGAGGCTGTCCAGCCGGTGTCACCCTGTTCGTCAGGAGATGCCCAGAAAGGACAGGAGGAGAGCGTCGCAAGGCGCGAGGGACAGCAGCATCCAGAGCAGCGCCAGGAAGGAAAAGGAGACAGACAGAAACCCGTCCTCACACGGGGCCGCGCGGGGTCAGCCTAGGCTTAGGACCAGATGCCTCCCAGGCCGCTGACACGAGGCCCCGGGGCCCAGGAAGGAGCCTGTGTGCAGAAAACACAGCTACCCTTTGGTCTATTCCATCTACAAGCTTGCAGGTCCTGTTAGCTTACTGACTGGTCGACCTCGTTTCTAGCAATTGTATTAAAAACACTTTGCGATGATTGCCCACTCTAACGTAGTTCATTAAAACGCTCAAACTATCTTGTATCATATTTATGCATTTAATGGGTTTTATTTTGGTCTTAAGCCCTTCAGTGATCCCACACGGCACCACAAATCCTTCTGAGTACATGAATGATTTTTATAAATACAGAAATATAAAATCAATTAGTGGCCTTAAAGTTCTTTAAAGTATATTAAATGCAGAATTAACTTAGTATGATTTCGATTTAAAATCAGAAATCTGGGAGCACTGAGGTGAGAGAATCAAGTTTGAGGCCAGCCTGGGCGACTTGAGGGGACCGGTCCCAAGTAAAAGCAAAACGGGCCTCAGCAGGGCACGTCCCCAGCACCCTCAGCCCTTGCGTGCATGTGAAAAGTGTGAGATTTAGGACCAAGGAAAGGGCAGGAACGGGGAAGCTGAGCAAGCTTAGAGTGGCAGGAGGAACGCAACGGCCGGAGCAGACCTCTCCAGGAGTGACTCTGCTTTTACTTCTGCTTGGCTCTTGCATACAGAGCTGCTCTGATCTTCAGCCGTGCTTTTCAGGAGCCCTGTGCCTTTGCTCCAGGGGTCCCTTGATCTCTGTACTTCTTTCAGTCACTCCCCTCGCCAGACCCCCCAATCTAAAACAAGACGCAAGGACACAGTTTTAGATTGACTTTATACACTGCCACCCTAATAGTTTAAATCTTCAAAATCATGGCCAAAATTTTACGTAGTGTAACACACCAATCTTAATATGACCCTTCTGCTTTCCTCAAACATTTTCATGTCTTACTTCTTACCCTTCACTGAAAACTGTGTGCTCAGCCTCCTACTACGGAGCCAGGGCTTCCCATTGGGCATAAAATAGGGACCACCAGACAGCTGGGAGGCCCTCTTCACTCCAACTGAGCAAACCGTGAGACCACCACCCCCAGGTCTCAGCAGCCCCTCTGCATTTGAGTCCATGCTGCTGGACCATGTCGCCTCAACTGTAACAATCTGAAGCAGCCTGGGTCCATCGTTGTCCAGTTCTGGGCGGGGCTGTGCAGAGCCACTGCCAGCCAGCACCGCGGAAGCTCCAGGGGGACTCGGTGTCCTCCCTCTTTTGGCCTCTTCGGTCTGCCTGCATCTGCTGACCTTGGCCTTCCTCATCTTCACCGCCAGCAGGGTCGCTCCTCAGACGGCTCCTCCCGACCTCGGCTCTCATCCTCACACTGCCTTTTCTGACTGTGACCCCTCAGACAGCCCTGGGGGCCACCACCTGGTGGGGGTGTCTCACCTCCCGAGAGCCTTCACCCAGTCACATCCGCAAACCCCTTTGCCACATGAGATCACACAAGGTAACCTTTCGGAGGTTTTGGAGATTAGGACACGGACCTCTTTGAAGGCCGTCTTTCTGTCACCCCTCCTCAAACACTGAAGGGCCAGACACTGGCCAGATGTTGGCACAGCTGGCCACATCCAGATGTTGGTGGGCTTTATGTCAGTGATCCTTAATCTCAAGTAAGAGACGCACTCATAGCTGTGGTCCTTAGTTCAAATCCCACATATTGCCTCGTTTTTCTGCATTCCAAAGTCTGTAGCAGTGTGACTGCTTGACTGAGTTTTGCATGGGACTCATATTTAAATATCTTCCTGCATGTGTCCAGAAATGTTTGGACTTGACAAACGTCCTACATTCTTCTTTTTTTTTTTTTTTCTTACCTTTTTGAGACAGGGTCTCACTATGCAGTTCAGACTGGCCTTGAGCTCACTTATGTAGCCTAGGCTGGTCTCGAACTTGCAATGATCCTCCTGCCTCAGCCTCCCGAGTGCTGGGATTACAGCATTGTGTCACCACGCCTGGCTGCATCCTGCATTCTTCATATATTTCCCACGATGTAGGGTTCTTGTGGTGTTGAGGGGTGGCCCACTGGAGGCTTGATGTCACTTGTAGCTTTGTCTAACCTCTCTCAAGCCTTAGAGAGCCTCCTGTCATCTCCCCTGGTAGGCCAGGGGTACCTTCAGCACTTCCTGCTCAGCTTCATAAAACCCTCGAGCAGCTGTAAACCCTCTGTGTGCCAGCACAACCAGGCCCAAGCCAGAGCCATCGGGGTCAGGAGGGGCTCCCGAGAGACTCTGGGCACGTGCAGCCTGCAGATCCGCCCTGGTGACAGGTCCTTTATGCGCCCATGGAGGCCCGTGGTCAGGGGAGGCTCCAGGCAGTGTCTGCGTCCTCTGCCCCTCCGTCCGTCTCTTGGCTTCTTTACAGGGTGGACGTGCAGTCAGTACCCAGGCTCCTGGCTTGTGTTGGCTTCTCTGCTTGCTAG